TTGAAGCAGCTGTAGTTTTTTATTGTATAAATCCTATACATTCTTCTTTTCGCTACACTTTTCGAAAAAACGAAAAGATTCTCTTACGATACAAACGATAGAGCTTCAATCAACAACATCTATTCGTTCTGGTACTTCTTTCGAAGTGAATGATTTCTCGATCTACAGAGGTTGCTTTCATTTGTTGCAGTGGGCAGTAGCTCTGCTGTTTTGCAGAGTTCGATTCTGCTAGTGAAACAACCAGTCCTCCCACTATTCACTCATTTGTTTCGGTGGTTAAATGGTTTTAGTGTAGGCAAGGAAGCTTTTTAAGCGGCTCACAAAAAAAGGAACCACCGATAGCCTTATCAACTGGCGGTTACTGCTGGCATTTGCTAACATTTAAGTAACTTCCCGTCTGCCTCCATCTTTCATGGGAGCGAATTCGAGAGAGGCGGGATACCCAGGGTGGTTAAACTTTCGTCTTTGATAGGAAGATAAACAACCTGCTATTTATATTTTTATGCGTTTTTGCATATATGCAAATGCAAAAACGCATACTGCGACGACCCCGACATGTGTGTGTCTGTCCGGGTATTTAAATTTGGCACTCAAGCAAGCTCCGACGCCAAAATTTTGCCGGCGGGTTCCACAGCAAAGTGCCACCACAGGACCGTGGTACTAACCTTCATGCAAATCTGGGCCCCGTGTACGAGGGGGTGAAAGTTTTGGCGGGAAAACCGCTAACTCGGGAACCAGAAAAGCTAGAAAGCTGAGATTCTGAGGTTATGTCCCCCACCCACATGGAACTCAAAAATCAAATTCATGTATGCGTGGTACCCGCATATAGCCCTGTGAGGGTTCCCGGCGCAGGAATTGCTAACTTGGGAACCAGGAAAGCTGGGAGACTGAAAATTTCAGAGAATGTTCTCAACACATGTACAACTTAAGATCATCGTATTCAGCTTCCAGGCATACGTGGTTATCATATACGGCTCCGTGAAATTTTTTGGCGGGAAAACAGCTAACTCTGGGGCCAGGAAAGCTGGAAAACTGAAATTTTCGGGGAATGTTTTCAACACGTGTAGAACTTAAGATTATCGAATTCAGCTCCCAGACATACGTGGTTATCGCGTACAGCCCTATGAAATTTTGGGCGGGGAAATGGCTAATTCGGGAGCCAGGAAAGCTAGGAGGCTGAAATTTTCTGGAAATGTTCCCAGCTTGTGTACAACAAAAATTTCTCAGATTCAGCCTTCAGGCATTCGTGGTTCTCTCGCATGGACTCGTAAAATTATTTGGCAGAAAAATGACTAACTCAAGAAATAGGAAAATTGGGAGCTGAAATTTAAAGAGTATGTTCCCAACCCCCGCAAAAGTTAAAGATATCAAATTCAGCTCCCAGATGAGTATGGTTCTCATGCACGGGCCCATGAATTTTTTTGGCAGGAAAATTGCTAACTCTAGAACCAGAGAAGTTGGAAAGCTGAAATTTTAACGGGATTTTCCCTGTCCAAGTACAGAGTAGACTATTAACTTCCCGAACTTCGAAGATCTGTACGTCATAAACCCCAGCTACTAGGTTTCCAAGCGATCGTGCTGCAGCACGAAATACTGCAAAAAAGCATGTTCACACGGGGCCGCCCGATGTGCGTAGTCAATGATTGTTTCTTCCGACGGTACTGACCTAATCACGGTTTGGTAAAAGATTAGAATTTGCATGATTTTTGATTTCTTAGCAGCATTCTATGTGGATCCCGAAACAAAACGACGAACACCGACATTCTATTTGATATGGTTTGTCGGTAGCGTTCTGATGGGTATCGTTATTTTACCCTGGTACATTTATTTTATGATTCGTCGACCACAGATTCGAAAACAAGCAGCAGCTAAAGTCAGATATGAATTGCTCGACGTAAGTTCATGCAGCACTGCTACATATTGGAAAATGCGGACTAACAAAAGTCCCAACTTATAAAAAAAAAGTCCAGATTTAATAAAATTGGCTGTCCAGCTGGAGTCAGGTTTTCCACTTTTGCAGCTAGTAACTTTTCCAGCTGCCTTGATCATCCTACTTGCAATCCTGATGTTCACTTCGTCTTCTGAGCAGTTGTCAGCTCAGCAGTTATCCAAGAAATGATAAGGCTGATTTGGAGCTTTTTGACTGAGTTTCCTTCTCATCTATTCAGAAAGCTTAAATTTTTCCTGGGAGCCAAAAAAGGAGGCGAAATTTCTTGCGTGTAAGCCAATTAAACCAGGTACCATAATTTCCTAAAAAACTGTGCAGCGCATGTGGTTTTTATCTTTACAACGATACATTTCTTCAAAAATTATCCACGACTTCCATGTTCATAAACTTCTTCCTTAGACACTGATCGAATCGTTCTCTCTTCCTTGGTTACTGATA